GGGTACCAACGCTACACATGAACTCCGAAAAAAGACGACGAACGCAAGGACAACAACAAAGAGCACCAGTCGGAGGTAAACACCACCCCAAACCCCGATCCCTAATTCAAAAGATTGCTCTTAGTGTCCGGCAATCACCACATAAAGTTTTGAGGATTCATACGGCCTCAATGTGAAAACCGCTGAAAATTTCCCCTGTGTGCATGGAGGACAACAATGGGTTTAAAGTAATATCTTGCCCGATTGTCAATGTAGTAGTTTGCATCTACTTTAAAATTATGGACACATAATATGACAATGAGATATTTGCAGTTCATTGATAAATGTATAACATTAGTATTTTTATTTTATTCTATTCTGTATAGTTGTGTACAGTATTTTATTCTTATTGTATTCTAATTTTTGCTATATAACTTTTGCACTGTCCACTTCCTGCTGTGACAAAACAAATTTGTGTGGGACTGATAAAGGTTATCTCATCTTATAATGGCTATTATACTCCACGCACTCCAGCTGACTTAACTTGGTTTGAATGACGACGTACTCACAGTTTAGCGGCTTGAAAATAGCCAGATTTTGCACCCAGCCATTAGTAAACTGGATGCGATTTCTTATTTTGAAACTGGTAGTATTTGTAGTACTGCGCAGGGAGCAGCGAGCTCTGTTCAGGCTCCGGGAGATGACGTCACACAGGTTCGCCCCCTCCCCCTCCAGGCGTCGCTATTTTGGCAGCATCCGGCTGCCGTGGTGAACGCGGCTAACCATTGTTTATAACTGTTGCGCCCCAGGTTGTACAAATAGACGAGGAAAAAAGTACTTTCTTTTACCGCATTAGGTGAACTAAACTGAGTAGCACCAGTGAAGGAGCCAGGAGAAGTGTTTTCATTATTTATTAGACTATCGTTGTGGTTTCTGATGAGTGCAAAACCACATAGCTGCATGCATAGTGTGCTTTGTGTCGTGTTTTCTTAGTTAGCAAGCTCTAAAGTAGAAATACTGAAATGTTTATGTTTATTTTGTAGGCAGAAAGGCAGAGAAGGCATCTGCAGAGAAGATAAGAAAAATGAGACTGGATGTGTTCAACAGAACACAGACGGCAAAGCTAAAACGGATAGCACAAATCTGGCTATCTGCAGAAGGCATCCCTGCAAGGTGAATATATCAAAGCCTTTCTCTGGGTGTGACTTAATACCAAGGAGTGCTCTCAAGTAAGCATATTGAGGCTGGGTGAGGTGAGACTAACGCTGCATGATAGTGAAACTGTTACTTTAACCCTGCTTTAGGTGGTGGGAAAACTAAAAAAAGAAAAGCTACAATAAACACATAGAAATGATTTTAACTTTAAAACTGTTTTAAAAAGGTTCTTCTAATTATTGGAGCTGTTTAAACTCATAGCACATAATGCACTCTTTATTAATCACATTTTCGCCCACTGTGCATTTATGCACCTCTCTGAATTGAATCATTAGTTATTATTAATCTTGCCACAGCGTGTCTTTTGTTCTGTCGCCTCACCACCCTCTTGATTCTGACTGTAATAAGGGAGTTTTTCCTTCCCCACTGTCACCAAAAACGTGGCCCATTTTCTACAAAAATTAACAAAAAAGAATGAACGTGATTTTGTTTTCTCTCTTATCAGGGAGCCAGCAGCCAAGGATGCAGGACCAACAGCCCTTGGTGGTCGAAGGCGGCTTATTAAAGATGCTGTCCCGACACTTTTTCAGTGGAATGATTATAAAGTTGAACCAACGCGGAGTAGTGTTTGGGAGAGAACGGAGCGACCCCCTGAACTAGTCACTCATCCTGGGGATCAAGGTCAGCACAGCGTTACAAGAGATCATGACTACTGCCCAGTCCCCGAGCCATCAGCAGAAGACCTGTCCAAAGACGTGGAGAGTCTGAGGAAGGAAATACAGGAGTTACGTGTCCAGCGAGAGTTTGGGTTACAGCGGTTTGCTGGCTCTGACACTGACATCCAATTCTATACCAGGTACATCGAAGTTAAAGTTCAAGTGTTTCCAGTCTTCATGAAAACAACATAGATATTTACTTTTTATCTGCTGACTGTATGTTTCATGTGTGATGTTAATTAATGATTGACACGATGTTTGTCTCTCTTGTGAATAGATTTCCAAGCTATAATCATTTGGTGGCATTCTGGGTTTTGATTGAGCCTTGCATCTATAAAATGATCCAAGCTTCAAGAGCCAAGTCAGCTGCCAACCCGGACGAAGAAGTGTTGACACCTGCACGCACACAAACGGTAGGCTATGGCTTTGTTGGTAGTTGGAACTAGAGGTGCGATGGCGTTGTGTTTATGTGGCGTAATTTTTGGGCTACAAGCCGCTACTTTTTCTACAAGCTTTGAACCCTTTCAGTCAGGTGCAGCTTTTCTATGGATTGTTCATGATTTTTGTGATATCGTAAGAGGATTTGTTTCGTTTGTTCCGCTGTTGTACGGCACTACGTTGGCTGGCAGAAGGGCATGTGATCAGACACACAGTATCGGGGGACAAGAGTGGTATGTTGGTCACATGTCCGTCCGAAAGGCAACGTAGTCCCTTACGAAGTAGCGCGAAAAACAAACTTGACTAGCCAGAGGGGTATTACAGGAGCAAAGGAAGCTTTCATTCACAAACCCTCAGTATGGCAAACAAAAGAAATGCATATGATGTAGCTTTCAAATTAAAGCTCTCAGCAAGGGAAAATAGAGCCTTGGTATAAACGAATCAATGGTGAGACGTTGGAGACGCCAGCGTGACGAACTGGCTCAGTCCAAAAAGACGAAAAAAACTTTCAGAGGAAATAAGAGCAGGTGGCCCAAATGTATTGAAGACTCGGGGAACACACAGAGAGCAAATGGGCGAGGTGTTTCAACTGGGCAGATCCAACTGAAAGCCAAAACAGTCGCCAACGAAAAAACGAAAAGGACTGTCCATCAGGGCGCGGACGACTGTGTGTCAGCAACTCCCTCCCGACTCTGCAAATTTGCGCAAATTCACACAAAGAAAGATAAACGAATATTCCATCGGACCGGACGAGATCATAAACATTGATGAAGTGCTGTTGACATTTGACCTGCCCCTTAGTAGGACTGTTAACAAGTCCTACTACGACTTGTCCTACAACTCATATGAGGACGTTTGCAGTTTGTATATAAAGATAATAAAAACAACTTTATTTAGTAAAATTCAACCCTGACAGTACAGTATGGTGTGCATAACCATTACAGCAATCTTACAAAACATTTATCCAAGAGAAGCATGATCTTACTAGTTCATAGCTTTAGGAGTAACATTTTCCTTTTTGTTTTAACCTTTCAGAGGCAGCTGCTCCAGCCAGTCGACGAGTTCTTTCTTTTCCTGGTTTTCCTGTCTGTTGGTCTGAAGGAGAGGGACCTGGCTCATCGATTCAACATACACCAGTCCACAGTGAGCCGCATCATTGCAACATGGACAAGTTTCCTTGCCACTGCACTGGGGTCTCAGTGCATCTGGCTTACACGTGCAGAAGTGCAAGCTTACCTCCCTGAGGAATTCAAAGGTTTCTCAGACATCCAGGTGATCCTTGACTGTGCAGAGCTGAGGTGTCAGACACCATCCTCGCCACTTCTCCAGAGTGAGACGTACTCTTCGTACAAATCCCGCTGCACGATGAAAGCCCTGGTTGGCATAGCTCCACATGGTCCAGTCACATTCATCTCTGATCTGTACGCAGGTTCGGTTAGTGACAAGGAACTATTCAAACAATCAGGCATTGCTGAGAAGTTGACTGAAGACATGGCAGTGATGGTAGATAAGGGCTTCCTGATGACAGATTGTTGTAAATGCAAAGTGTACCGCCCCCCTTTTGTATCGAAGCAGAAGAAGAAGAAGAACCAGGTTAAGGAGACGCAGGCCACAGTCAGACTCGGGCTACATGTGGAGCGAGTCATTAGGAGGATCAAACAGAACAAACTTTTTGATGGCATCATCACCATGTCACCTGTTTACAATATCAACCAACTGTTTGCAGTAGCATGTATGCTGTCAAATTACCAGAACACAGCATTCGTTAAAAAACAGGTTAAGTGAGACGAGATGGAGTTGTCCCAGGACACCAGTGCAAGTAACTTATGCTGGATATGGAGCTTTAAATACTATGTAAATAAGTTTCGCAAACATTCAATGTGTAAAATGTTTTTGATACCGTTGCTAAAATAAGAGTTTATTGGTTTCACACAACAGTAAAATGTTTTTTTGAACATCTTTTAAAAGTTTTGCAAATAAAATATCACTTTGTTCAATCCAGCCTGAAGGATCTGGTTTTTTTTTTGCTGTTGTTTTCACTGTTCATTTTTCAAACACGGGTATTTTGATGCATATATGTGTAGAAAAAGAAGTAGTCGGCTTATGCACATCTGTATCCATGTATATTCTTTGCACTAGGTAGTCCTTCGATGCTCACACAACTTAGGCTCACAACAGTTTTTGTTTGCTACATGGATCATTTTAGTTCAGCTGGGTGTCCTTTTGTTATTTTTCTTTAAGAGTTCAAAATGTGTTCATACATATATAAAGTGTTATCTTCATTTTCATTTCAAAAAGTATTTGCTGCTCCCAGTGTTTTCTTTTGCGTGGAAACTGGGTCCAAGTGGGTCTTTGGATGTGAAAGGTTGCAGACCCCTGATCTAGACCAAAACACAAAATGTTCTTCTACAAGGTCCTGATATCCATGTATGAGGACATTAAACTGCTACTTTATCAAAATGTCAAACAAATGTCCCCGTATGTGGATAGAATAGAATTAAATAGAATTCAACTTTGTCTTTGCACATGTCACAGGTACAAGGCAACGAAATGCAGTTTGCATCCATCCAGAAGTCCTTTCTCCATGATGTAGATATTACAAATATATTAGCAATAATATAGATGTTGCGGCTCCTCCAACCTACGGCCGCGGCAGGCTAAACATGAGGACACAGATGACGCGCAACAATAAACACATAAAATACACTTCTGTACCATTTGCTTCTTTTATTCCACATGCAGCTGTCCAATATACAAATCAGTGCCTGGGATTAACTATTAAACAAATGCACAGACCACAAACAAATAACTGCAACTCACCAATAACTGCACTAACTACTATGCCAAATTACAACTTGGCCTATGGCATCAATTAGTGCACAAATATACAAAAATCATCAAGTTACAGTCAAAATACATCCAAATCATTCAAGGTGAAGTCACGACTGACACAAACAATAAGAATAATAAGAGCAAAATTCAAGCTTACACGACTGAAGCTGGAGGTTGTTTTGGTCATTTTAAAGCTGAATTGACAGGAACACTGAGACATGTCAGTAATGCTGCTGCTGCTTTAATGTTGATAGATGCTATTGGCTTGTTTGTAGCAGCAGAAAAAAATGCTTTTTTTTCCCCAGACTGTAGTGTCAGTGAAGTCAGGGACCTTTAAGTTAAGTTAAGTTTGTTAAGTCCGGGACCTTTGTGGGGTGTTGGTGGCACCTGTGCGTTTTTAAATGATTTCTGTCTCTGTGATCAGCAGCAGATTCATAATTCAGCTGTAGAAAGATCTCAGACATTTGATTCTGCAGTTCACTGGGAGGACAATGTGAATCTCGACTGTGTTGTTTATAATTTCTATAGATCAAAAAAGCAACAACAACAACAACAACACCAGTATTGCACCATTAGTATCTGTTTCCCTGCTCCAAACAGTCTGAAACCCTCCCAATGTCTTTAGACTTTAACAGGAGCTCTGAGAAGCAGAAATCACATATTCAGCACCATTCCCTTTTCTTCTTTTACAGATCAAATCATTCGGTACAAGAACAAACACACCATAACTGACAGACTCACTATCAGTCCCACAAACCCTCCATGTCCTCCTGGAGGACGTGCAGGTGAGAAGAAGGTGTCAGCTGGTGGTGAGAGAAGAACAGAATCCAGGATTTCAGTCAGTTTTTCATTCACAGAAATAATTCCCCTTCATAAAAACCCTGAAAACTAAATTTTGGGCTCTTTTCATGATAAACACGTCCTCAGATCATCTGTTTGTTCCTGTGCTGAGTGACAACGATGGGAAATTGGCGCAAAACCAGGAGACTGAGAGCTCATTTGGAAAAGCTCTGAGACATTTCAAACAGGAGGCTGGTATGAATCCTGAGCCTGCTTCTTATATTTTCTGTAGATCAAAAATCCAGAAACAGCAGAAACAAGAAGCACAGCGAAAACTGACAGACCAACTATCAGTCCAACAGATCCACTCTTCTTCCCTCCATCCTCCTTCCCTCCATCCTCTGTGTCTCCTCCTGTCTGACCTGCAGGTGAGAAACAGGTGTGAGGTGTCAGCTGTCAGGTAGGTGATGAGTGAAGAACAGAACAGAATCCATTTCCT